TACGATATGTACATTTGTAGCTATATGTAATGGATAAATTTATGTTTGTGGGCAACTTCTTTATTCTTTAATTAAGCTCAATTGAGGCTAACTGTGGCGAGGGTCCGATGACGACGAGATCGCCTGACCCCGCGTTCGTTACTCACCTCCACCGAGGTCTTGAGGTTCTGGGGCACCTCCTTGAGGTCCAAGTCGTAGCATCGGATCCGCAGCAGCTTCTCGATACGGCCGTAGGTGCACTTGCGCTCATCCTGCAGGATAAATCCGGCGGAACGCAGACTCTGGAGGCACACGATGAATGTCAGCAGCTGCCAATGCAGTTCCATGCTCTGTCGAATTGAATGAAAGATCAATTTTGGCGCCAACTTGTTTATTTTCTTGATTAGAACTAGAACAATAAATTAAAGCGAATAATAGCTCAGGGGCGCGTCAAAGCGTTTATTTTCGAATTAACAATTTACAAGATCATTGCCGATCGCTGGGGGTCTGGGTCTGGGTTGGTTTTTTAGGGGTAAATGTGAATGTGTGGGATTTGTAAATGACCAAAACTGAAAGCATTCAATCAAGCGAATCTCCCGCACCTTGCAAATGGAATTAACCCATGGCAATACAGATACAAAGCTCAAATTCGAAGCCTAGGTCAGCTGTTGGCCTGCGTATGAGCGATGCTCATATTACGTATACGTAACACACAATCAGTGTCATTCCGCCTGCATTCATGCACATCAACAAAAGATGATTCCGCATTCGCAGTGGCGGCGTCGGCGGAAACAGTTGCAGCCCTATAATAATAATAAAAGCAACTAGCCCGAAAATAACTGACTCACTGCCTTATGGATAGATCCATTTTGGGAGAGTCTTGACAGCAAGTGCTCGATGTCTGTTTCCTTGTACAATATCTTATCGTTTTTGTGTGTATAGCTTTTAATTCAACATCAAACAGCAAGAGGGGTAGCTATAAATCATATAAATATTCCATTAGAGCGCTTTTACGGCTCTTTGCAATGTGTCAGATTCACAAAACACTTTCCTCAATTTGCCAAAAAAATTAAAAAATATCATGAGAAACAATAATCGATTATGGGGCAGAAATAGGAATGCTTCAACGTGATTTATACCTCCGCATAAGTACATATATCTTGACATGATCTGGGCATGTAAGCCCACTGGGAATGCACATTTGGGAAATCGGAATGGAAATCCAAATGGCCAGAATCCATTGTTAATGTCTCTGTCACGCCCCATTGAAGGGCAATTAGAAAATTGCACGTTTCCCAACTTTGTATCAGCTGCCTTTGCGTGATTTTGCTTTGTGAAAAATGTGAAAATGGAAGCCGAACCTCATGAGTAATATCTTGAGTATTGTAATTTTGCATTTGTGACATTCGCGCTAATTGCTGTCGCAGCTGAAGTTTTTATTTTGCCCACACCACACTGAATTTCTCGCGAAATCAATTGTCTGTCAGCGAAAAAACCAGCGAGTTCTATTTACCCGATTCTTAAACGCTTGCCAAAGAATGATGAACGACAACCTAGATATCCATCCATATTGGCAAATCACTTTGAGCCCGTCCAAGTGGCGCAATTAAGACGTATTGAGCCCCCTGTTTGGCCTTTTACAGAGGCAACAAAAGAGTGTTAATCAATTATAAAGTTAGTAACAATTCGTTGGTCATAGTAGCAGCAAGAGCTCGGCGAAATAAAGATGATTCATGGTCCCCATTTAGCCGCCATGATTCCCCCCATTTATTAATCTTTTTGTTATTTTCCTGCTAGCTGAAGTGTCTTGGCCTTTGACCAAAAAATGTTGCGCTCCACTTGAGAGGCATATGCTGTCCAAAATAAAATAGAAACTAAAAACAAAGACAGTCCTGTCCATAAGTTTGCTCCACCAGAACCAGGCGCACACTTTCGCCACCCAGTGTTCGCTACCTCTGTCATTAGAGCTGCCTGTCGAATCAGCGAAAAAACGAAGCAGAAAAATATCAAAAGAAATATTGAAGCTATTTCCACACTTTTTGGGTCTGACAGCAACCGCAACAATGGCTATAAATATATTTCATATATTTAAATTAAAATTAAGCAGAAAAGCCCAAAACAGCGACCAGAGCGGGACGGCAATATAAACAGTGGCGACCGACTGCAAACTTTTGGATTTGAAGAGATTTCACCTCTTTCCCTTCCCTAAAATCACATTTTCCTTCAAATAGGGGGCTCTGAATTCAAAGAAATTGGCCATAAAAAGGGCTAATGCCAGGCATGGAATGGAATATCCACTCGGCTTTCGGATATAAAAGCGATCCAAGTCCCGCGCCGCAAATCAAATGAAGAATCAGCCTTAGCCTTTAGACATTGTTCTATTAGAGGTGGATTGGTAGGGGTCAGAATTTATGTTTTCCACTTTGGCCGCATTTGTTCGAATATTTATTTATATATTAGGCTCAATCAGGCGGCAGACCAGACAAACAATGGGAAAATGGGAAATGCGAATGGGGTGGCAGAAATGGGTTACGGATCGGAATCGTCCAAGGCGATGTGATACTCCCACCTCTACGGATCCGAACTGTCGACCAACGCATTGCAGCCTGCCCGATATGATAAATATGACGACGAGGGATTATTTATCTGTTCGCCGGGCCAAGCGATTATTGGGATAACAAAACGCAACATGAAATCGAAAATCCCCCCAAAAAAAATGAGTGGCATAAAAAAGCTCGAAATTAGTATCAAATATTTTAATAACATTCTAAACATTTGTGAATGGATTTATGTGCTCTTGTGATAGTTCCTGTCACACATTGTGGGCGTCTCAGAAAATGCATATATTATCGGGTATACCGTGGCTGGTCAACATATATCTTTCGGCTAGGACCCCCTCCCTCGCCGCCCCTCAACAGGTGGGTGCGCTGGAGGGCCCCAAGATTTATTTACATTTCTCGCTAGTACGATAAAGATTTATTTGTTTGGACTTTTCTCTGATGCTGTGATGAAACATCGCTTGGGACAACTTGTTCTATTGTGTTGTCATATCTTGGTTACCTTCTTACTTCCTTCAGAAATGCCATTGGGTAACATTCATATTTTCTTGAAAACTTCAGGTTATCAGAGTACGTCAAGTGCTCTTATCGGGTTTGTCCCCCTTTCCGCTGATAGGCTCTTTCAAAATTATAAAAGCGATGCGAAGAACAAAAAAAATTAATTGAAACCGCAATAACAACGGCCTCGTAAAGAATGGTGTAGCTTAAAAAAAGCGTTCCTCATTTATTTCAATTAAACACAATCAAGAAATCATTTCCCCAGAGAATGAAAAGAGGGAAAAACAAAAGAATCCAATCCAGCTACAGTTACTACTCAACAATATCGGAATGCCAGTTGATATTGTTGTATAATGTTTATTTATGCTACAACCTAGAATATCTAAGAAAGACTTTTGTAAATAACCAACTTTCAACAGATATATAACATTTCAATCCCATATTTTGTATAGCTTTACTTTGTTGAGTTCGCTTCTCCCGTGAGGCTTTCGTTTCGTTTACTAGAACTCACGCTGTAAAGATTAGTCGACCCCTTGATAAGCAGGTGTTCCCTACGTGTTTAACGAGAGTTAATTACTGAATAAACACTCTTTCTTTTTTCACCCTAAAACGTTTCTTTCTCAGATATACATAGCAAGTATATAGTACAATTTTTATGTTACCTGGAAGATATGTATGGTATACACAGAAAGCCTCCAATTGTCGTTGTGCTGCCTCCCCTAATTGAAATCAATTTAACTTGGATTCTATCGCATTATGCTGTTGTAGAGACTCTTTTGGATGTGAACACTTTCATATATGCAACTTGACAAAAGCCCGAGACTGGGGCACATTTCAATGCTAAGTTTCCTGATTAGAAAATTTAATACAGATTATACAGCAGTTGTGCAATATAGTCGTAGTATTATGGGGTTCTACAGCTGATGATAACCCGCCAGACCCCGTACTACGAGCGGAAAACAAAAAACCAACTCCGAAACACATTTTTCAATCAGCTTACCACTTGGGAAATTCAAGTGTTCAGGTATAATCCCATTTAAAGTTTGAAGAGATAATCCTTGTGAAATGGCAGGATCTTTATTTCACTACACACACTTCACTTATTCCTTTATTTCCTTCTTTTTGTATAAAATGCTCCTGATATTTTATTTTTAAATGCGCTTTTGTATTTATTTCTTTAAAATATTTTGTTATTGTCGGGAATAAAAACTAAATTTACGCCGGAAAACTTTTAGTGCGACCGTTACGGAGCGAACGTTGGCCGGAACCGTTCAATTCAACCGCAGACATAGAATTGAAATCGGTTCAGTTTTGGGCCTTTCGGACTCCGACGATCCGATCGCCCGAGCACTCACACCGAAAAACTCTGATAAAGCGGACGCTCACTCACAGATGACACTGCTGCACTGTGGAAATTCGAAGGGAAAATTCGGGAGAGAGAGAGTAAGAATGGCGCTCTCTTGGCTCGATGATAACAGCAATGGAAACTGATACACTCTGCCTCTAGAAATTGATCTGTTTTGGGGATTTTGACAGCTCAAATGTGGATATTTCTGATTTAGACGGCCACTCATTCAATTAGCAAACAAATGATAATCGAAATCGATCCGGGGGAAGGGGATTTCCTAATGAAGCATCCACGGCAGCTGGAAATACAAGTGTACATGCGTATGAATGGTATCTCAACAAACTAAGCGATGAATGATACCATGATACCCAGAAATGAGAGCTTAACCCCTGTCGTAAAAGTGGGGAGACGACTTAATTCCCTTCTTATCAGCAGGTCCGAAACCCTGACATATAGAGATCTCTTCATGTGTGGACATGAGCCCTGTCCGCTCCACACTTTTCCATATTTAGAAGAATTTTAAACCACCCATAAATCCCTAATGTCGACCGCTAATGGCTACCTGGACACCAGATCCGGAACTCCAGGTAAAACGCCAGGTAAGAATACTCGCTCTATATGGCTTTACTTTTCATCGTATTTATTGGTTTGCTTTAATATTTTGTTCACAACATGAAAAGGAAATAGTAGAAAAATATGACATTGTGATTAAAGGTTTTAATACATAAACCCATATTCCATTAGTTTCCTTACGTTTCTTTTAGTCTTCGCTTGCAATGTTTTTTGTTTGTTTAGGTAATGAAAAGTAAAAAATTGAAAACATGAATAATAAGTGATTCTTCAGTTGGTTAATCGAGAAAACAAAGTACAAATTAGGTTATAAAGGGAAAATAAATAATTCTTCTGGAGGTTCAATATTCTCTCCACTTCTCTTCAATTCGCCAACGTTCGTTGATGATGTAAAATTGTTTTACACAAGGTTGAGCAATTATATAAATCGTCCTTCGCCCTTATAGCTACTAACATGTATTGGTTAGTGCCAATTTTATCTAGATTTCACATTTTTTTGTTGATTTTTAAAAATATTTTTCGTTTGTTTTTGTACATTTTCTAAATGTTTTTTTCGTTTTTTTTTTGTTCGATTTTTCGTTTTGTTGTGTTTTTTGGTGATAATGTTCTTCGTATTGATTCATTAATTAAAATTAAAATTAGCTTTCATTTTGGTTTTCCATGAAAAATCAATGAAGCATCTTGGCTAATCAAAATCGTGAGGTTTCCTCCTCTTCCGTTTGAATAAGTTTAACTCGTTCAACTAAATAGATAATACAACGCGTGTTTTAGCCAAACTAATCACAATCTCCTGCATGGAGTATATATGAATTGCAATCGGTCCTGTCGGTCACTTTTACGGGGTGATCACTGATTTTCCTGAAGCTTCTCGCTGATGTTCTTGCTCTGATAAAAGAGCCGCACGACATGGGTGCCAGCTCCCTTGGTGGCCAGAATCTCCACCTGGAATGTCTCGGAGAAGCGAGAGTCGATAAAAGTCTGAAGCAGGGCCACATCGCACTTGGCCATGGTGGACGCCTCCAGCTCGCAGTGCTTGCTGTAGCGCTCCGGTTTGGCCAGCTCCTCGGGCAGCTGGCGGAACTGCTGGGTCACAGCATTGTTGCCGAAGTCAATAAAGTGCACCTCGCACTTTCCCTCGTCCAAAACCTTGACAATCTGGGCGCGATAGAAGACCTCGTCCTCCGGAAACTGGGCCACGCACAAAGCTCCCTCTTTGAGGTCGCTAAACACGGGCAACTCCTGCTCTGCATCGAGGAGTTTATCAGTCATATTCTCCAGCGCTGGCACATCGCTCTCCATCTGCACGTAGAACGATCTGGGATCATCGTACTGCACCACAACGCAGTTGTGAAGCTCTGCTTCCAGCGGTTTTTGCACCCCGGCCACTGTACTGGCCAGCTCCTGGGCAAAGTCCTTATAGTTGATACGAAGTTGGGCAGAAAGAGGCATCGTTTCATCCTCGTTCGGCTGAGTGCTTATCTCGTAAACTTCCCCAAAGTGCTGTTCTAATAGCACGACAAAGGCCTCCTCTAACTTTTCATCAGGCACATCTTTTGGAATCTCACTCAGTTGGCAATGCAGGGCCAGCGGTGGAATAGTCTCTATCTCCTGGGGTAACTTCCAGATCTCCGAAACGGTCAGGGTGTTGCCGTAGTCCAACAAAAAGGCTTCAAAGCCCTTGTTCTCCTCCAACACAGTCTTGATGCTGCAGCGATAGTAGCAGGAATCCTCCTGGGAGTAGCAAACACCGCCCAAGTTCTTGCCAGGAGCGTTCAGCAACTTAAGTTGCTCCTTCTTCAGCGACTGCAGTGTCTTGACAATCAATTCCAAATCCGGCGTATTGTGCTTCAGATGCACATAGAAACTCTTCGGTGAGTTGCCATGCGTGATTACGCACTCGGAGTTCTCGTTTCTCTTTTGGATCAGCTTCAACTCGGCTGCAATCAGCTTCTGAAGCTCATCATAGATATTCAGACTATTTGTCTTCTTATCTTTAGTTCGCAGTCTAACTACCGGCGGACTGGCTGATTTGTCTACAAACTCCACCGCCACAACACCATTGCAGCTGTCCAGCAGCGCGTCGAGTGTGGCAAGGGCCAGGGCCTTATTTTTCTCAAATATAGCGCAGGATTCCATGCTGCAGATCTCAGCCACGGGTTTAATGGTCGCAAACTCCAGCGGCAACTCGTACAGCTTATCCACCACTGTTGTGTTACCATAATCAACCAAAATCACTTTGTATTGGTCATTTTCGAGCACTTCCAGGACACGAGAGCGATAAAATTCCATGTCGTCAGGGAATTGGGTAACACACAATTCATCCACAGATCCCTTTTCCGTTTTGGGCTGCAGTTTGCTACCATTCAGCTTCTCGCAAATAATGTCCATCAACGAATCCTTCTCGCTAAACTGTAGGTACATATGTGAGGTATTCTCCACGTGTGTGATTATGGCTTTAGTGGTGACAGCCAAGGACTCCTTGCTGGCTTCCTTCGGTTCCTTTCGTTGGCACAACGGCAGCAGTCGGTCTATGATGCTCTCTCCATCCAACAGAAGATCAATGGTGACCACATCCTGGCCTGGCTTCAGAAGCTGTGTGGTAAACACCAGCTCACCCTCGCCGGTTAGCTCGGCGAATTTAGTCTCCGCTTCTGGTGACCAAGATGTGTAATCCTCCGGCAATTGGAGCGAACATTTCTTGGACAAACTGGGCAGGCTGGCAATCTCCTCCGAGAGTAGCAGGCACTTTGATGTGGTGGAGGTGTTGCCGTAGTCAATGAAGAGCACTTCGTACCGGGAGTCTGGCAGCTGCTTCAGCAACTGGGCTCGGTACCACAGCTCATCGTCCTCAAACAGAGCAGCCACAATAGATCCTTTTTCAAATCGCTCCAGTGGCTTTAGTTTATCCTCGTCGCGCAAGTACATCTCAATCAGTTCCAGCGCTTTCGAATCTCGCTCCAGCTGAATAAAGAAGTCGGAAATTCCGTTCACATGTGAGATGTAGCAGCTGCATCCACTGGTCACGTACTCCAGGGGCCTAGCAAAGCCGTCGGCAATCAATTTCTTGGCCACATCCTCGCCATCGATGTATACATTTACATAGCTGGTCGTGTACTGATCCCCCTTGGTAAGGTACTCGTAGCGCAGGATCTTCGTGTATGATTCGTTGAAAATACCATTAGCTGCATCCACCCAATCCGCAGTGCCCTTGGGGCAAATTGGGAGTGCGCATGGCAAGCAGAAGGGCTCCACGTGCGACCACATGCTCTCCTTTATGTCAGTGGTGTCCGATACGCAGTCCGTGTTGCCAAAGTCGACGAACAGCAGGACCATGAGCTCGGCATCGATGATCTTGGCGCGGTACCAGCACTTGTCCACCGAGTACAGAGACACGCAGTCCGCGCCGTTGACCACGTTCATCAACTGGGGCAAGGATGGTGACACAATCTGGAGGTTTTCCTGCAGCTGATGTATTTTATCCAGCTGATCGATCGGGTGAACAAAGAAGTGTGCTGGATTGTCGCAATGGCTTAGCACAAAGCTGTCCAAATGTTTGTAGGGATCCTCTTTCGCAAGAGTTGCTTTTTCGGGCTCTGGCACAACCTCTTGGACAACAGCTGTCTTAGCTTCTGGTTCCTCTACAGCCACTGGAGCAGGGGTAGGTGGTTTTGGCACAGGTTCTGGCTCCGCAGGAACCGGTGTAGGAGCTTTCAATGGTACTGGCGAAGGAGTAGGAGATGCAGCCGGCTCTGCTGGCTTACTCTTCTTTGGCTCCCGATCCTTGTCATTGTGTTGTTTCTTCTTGGGCGAGGCATTTGCCGAGCTCGACTTGCTGTTGCTGCCAGTTTCCCTGCGTCCCTTATCCTCTTCGTCGTCCAAGGTAAGGTCCACTGTTTCAATGTACTCGTAAGTACGCGACTTTCCCTTCTCCATTTGCTTGCGCATGTAATCCAGATCTTGGCCGGGTATGAGCTTCTCAGCCTTTAGCAGGTCTATCACACTCTGATTGTTTTCCATGATGACATCGGCAATAAGATGATTACGACGTACCTCAATCGATTTCACCGTGACCAGCTTTTCTTCAAGAATCTCTGACAGACGCGCCTGTAGCTTGGCTTCGTTACTGGGGCGACCAAGCGGCAAATTGATCTCCACTGCAAAGCCGCTGGCGTTCTCATAGAACTTATCGTCCAATGCCTTGATATCTTCACGCTTTATTTCCTCCGTGTTTCCGTAATCGAGGTAAAATACCTCGGGGCGTGTTGCATTTAAATCCTTTCCAGTGATTCTGGCTCTGTACCAGTTGCCATCGGAACTGCGGACTGCACATATCTGTCCCGCGTCATATTTTTTTAGGGAGTCACCTAAAGAAAAGTATGTGAATTATATGGCCTAAATGTTATCTGGAATATTTACCCTTCGCCTCATAGTGCTCATACATGTTATCCAACAGATTCTGCATGGCAGTTACAATTGCCTGGGGTTGAACATAAACGCGGTAAGGTTTGGATGTGTACACCACGAGTGCTTTGAATGAGCTCAGCACTACAGGATAAGGACAGACGAATGCCTTGCGATCCTCCTTGAACAACGGCATTACAGGTCTCAGATGAATGCTTGAATTGGATTTAAAATAGAGATTTCTTTGATTGTTAACATACAGTATATTGCAGAGCCACTTACATATTGTTTTCGCAGACATTTTTGACATTAAAGGCAAAAGATTTGCCCTCGTAGAATTCCTTAAAACGCCTGGCCAAATCAGGATTGGACTTAACAAATTTCGCATCGTCGTAGCTGCACAGGAAGTTAACATTCTTGCAGTAATCAAGCTGAACCTTAAAGTTAGTCATGTCCCGAATATTTGTGAATTTGCCTCTAATCTGCTGACCAGCCAGAAGGTTTACGCGTATTTCTGTATAAAATAACAGTTTAATTATTCATGTAAGTTAATAGCAGCAGAAAATAGTCTTACCAGGCGCCACCTCAGTGAGGAATTCAGCTTTGACCAGCGTGTCTCGCAGCGAAGCGCCGTTTACAAACATATTGACCGTGTAGGAGCAACTACTGTTGTTGCTCTTCTCTTTGGACAGGAACTCGCATTCCACTTTGGCATTGACTGGTACGAATTTCTCCATGCGATCCACAATGTACAGGGGATCATAGTTTGTAACCACACTGTGGAAACTACAGCGATGGGCCATACAGGGTGGCTCCGCGAAGCGCTGCTCCAGTTGCCAAACATCCTCCGAGGTGACTGTAATCAGGCTGCCTGTGTCCACACAAAAGACGCGGTACTTGCGCATCATGTGGTTGCAGGCGGTCACTGTGGCTCGCAGAATGGCGTTGTCCTTTCGCTGGCGCACCACCACAGTGGATCCAACCTTCAACTGTAGGGGCTGATGTTGCTTCTGGCGGTAGAATAGTCGCATATCGCGCAGGACGTTATCATACTTTGCGGAGGCCGACTTTGGCACCACGTAGAACTGGAAGGGCGAGACCCACCAGGACAGACTGGCAGCCTCTTTGCCAGGTGTTTTCATGTCCTGCAGCACATACGGTTTGTCCAGCGGAATATACTTCTCCGGCTTGGTGGCAGACACCGATTCGGTGGTGGAAGAGGCCGCATCGCTCTCTACTCCGCTGGAACGCTTCGAGCTGACGGTTCCGTCCAAAGTGGACTTTTGGCGTTGCGGTTTTTGGGCATAGCCCTGCGGGGCATTCTGGGAGCGTTGGTTTCGCTGCTGGGCGTCTTGATTCTTGCGGGGTGACTCGTTAAAGCGTCTGGAAATAACAAGTTTTAAATTATAATTTAGAAGATAAAAGCTAGTACTAATTACTCACGTATTTTTGATAGCTTCCGGTTTTCCATTATGCCGTGGCGACTGAATTGGAGTGCGGCCGTTCTGTTGGCGGTTGCCCTTGCGGGGCGAACTCATGCCACTGGTGTAGCTGCTGGTGCTTTGCGTCTCAAAGCTGGAGTCCAAATGCCGATCGAATCGCTGACTGTGCTGCTGCTGACGCTTGCTGTCCTTCGAGCCCGCCGAGGTGGAGCTGCGTTTATCCCAATCTGGGGAGTTTTTGCTACCACCTCCTGCCCTTGCTTGCTGCGGAATATCAACCACCAGTTCCTGCTGCACTGGCTCCTTTTTCGGTTGCTGCTGTTTCTCATTCTCGCTCTCCACAATGCTGGTCGAGTTGAGAATGAGACTCTTATCCAATTCGGAAGAAACCACAGACTCGGCGCGTGTGTTGTTGGCATTGAACTGGCCCTTCTCCAGCGACAAATACTGCTCGAAGGGCATTGAGAGTTTAAAGAGCTTCTTCATCACATTCAGGTTCTTGGCCAGCAGATTGACCACATTCAGACCATCGGGTTCTATGCGAAAGATACGCACACTGAATGTGCGTCGTTGGATATTCGATTCCTCGGCCAACATCTCAAACTGGTCGGTAATCTTGTTCTCGCTCAGCTCACTGTTCTCGAAGCCTTTCAGGCAGCACTTGATTGCCTGCCGCGGCATCTCCAAATGCTTTTCGGCTATGTGGCCGATTAGGTGGCGTTTCACGTTCTGTTCATAACCGAAATCTACGTGTCGCACAATCACAGAGTCATCAACGCGCAGGATCTCCGCACGGTACCATTCCTGATCGCATTTCACAATGCAGGGTGCGCCCAGGATCAACTGATCGGGCACTTTCTGGTTGGCATTGTAATAGGAGAACATCTCGTCCATAAGCTGCTCGAACTTTCCGATATTGGCCACTTTTTGCACATAGAAGTTGCTCGGCGAATCGATAAAGCGGATCTCCACGGCATCGTCGTTCATCAGTTGCTCAGCCTTTGCGTAGGACTGACGTGAGTTTTTCAGCTGTCTGAGTAGCTCCAGCATGTTGGTACCCTAAAACAGAGAGATTATAATTTACATTCGCTTATCATAACATTTAAACCTACATTCTGATTGAGGTGGCAGGTCTGCATGGAGCCCACGCTCTCGGGCGCCTGGACAGTGAGTTCAAAGTTCCTGTATATAGCCGCCTTCTTGAAAATCCGCTTCATGCTCTCGTCAATGGGCTCGAGCTCTTTGGTTCCGGCCAAAGCGAAGCGGAAGGCGAATGGTTTGATGTCCAGCATCTCGGGGGGTATTTGAAAGAGATCGCTGGACGGCAGCAGCTCAGAGTTTCCATAGTCCACGTAGACCACGCGATAACGTTGGGCGTAAACGGCGCTGACCAAAGCGCGATACAAGTGGCCATCTTCCGAGAAGCGTGCCACGCAGGCGGTTCCCAGTTCCGGAGCCTGGCTGAGCGGCTTCAGCTTCGTCCGTTCAATCTGACCCATCATGGCGCTCAGATCATTGCCGCTGCTCTTTATGTGCACCCAAAACAGATACGGCCCATTCTCTACATAACTAATATCCACATCGTAGGTTAGGCCCACCGTCAAGCTGGTGGTTCTAAAGGCCGGAATGGTGCGTTGCTGGGCACGTTGGGCCAACGACGGTGTCGGAGGCGGAGTGAAGCGTGCGGGAGCATAGCTCAGAGGGACGTAATTAGCCGGTTGGCTGTACGGCGGCTGAATGGGCACATTTGGAGCTACCGGCGCCATGCCGGCCATCGGTTTGTTCATCCGAACATTATAGTAGGTGTAAAGCGATCGGGGATTCGCCTTGGGCACATAAGGTTGAGCAGCCGGCTCGGCGGGCTGATAGTTGGCACGATTATAGGGATTGGCCGGCACATAGGCCGGTTTCTGAGTATTGGCCAGGCCTTGCGATGGCACCTGTACATTGGTCTGTAAATAGAGTAGTTTATAAGTGAATGATTTTCGTAGAAATCTGGACGATTCATACCACATTGGCCAGAGGCAGCTGCTTGGGCGTATAGTCGGCGGCATCGACATTCAACGGCCTGGGCGGCGTCACCTGCACCGAGCGCTGGGCATCCAGGCGAGCGGCCAGCGATCGTCGCGACGCCAGCTGCTCGCGGGCAATGTCCGTGGGCGTCTTTGAGCTGTGTACGCTATTGTTGTTTTGCTCTGCGCTGATCGGCGACTGTGGAGCATCCTTCCACAGCTTCTTGCAGTGATCCATCATGAGCTGCCTGCTCATCGGCGCTCCAATTTGCTTCTGTTGCACCAAAAACTCGTTGAGCTCGAAGTCCTTGTAGCGCAGACTGGCGAACTTTTGGTCGCAGATCTGTGTGGGATCGACGGTGATTTGAACGGTCTGGTTGACAATCAGCTGGTGAACCACCGCCAAGTCGGCCGAGTCCCAATCGGCGCAAATGCCCAGCACGATGTACTGGAAGCAGAGCAGCGGGATGTTCTGCAGCAGCTTTGGCTGCTTGGGGAACATTAACTGGGGGGGAAATCAAAGGGTTAGGATTGGAATCTCAAGAAGATTAGTCCACTCACATCATGACTATTCACAGTGCGCCGGAAGCCCAAGTCCAGGAACTCGATCTCGGTGCGCATCTGCTGGCCCTCCAGCTCGGCGCTGACCACGCGTGTCCGCATGTACTCCACATCGCCGGGCGCCGGTCCGTTGGTCTTTTTGAAGATGCAGAAGGTGCCCGGAGTGAGCAGGGCCTGCTGGCGCTCCACCGACCAACTGGGCTCGATGGCGAAGCATGTGGGGAGCACCTGCTCGATGCGCTTGCTCACCAGGATGGCGGCGTCTCTGTTCACCTGGCCGTAGACCTTCAGGTAGGGGCCCACGTGATCCACATGAGTGATGTACAGGTCCACTTTGGATGGCCCCGCAATGGGCGGCTGACCATTCATGTTTGGATGTTGTTATTCGCTGGAAGCGTAGTTAATTCGGTTAAAAATGTGCGATTTGACAATTGGAATGCAAGGAATGGAATTCCAGGGACGCTACACGCACACAGTTGCACTTGGCAAGGAACCGTTAGTTTGGGCCGGCGAAAAGTTGGCAGCCCTGAGTCCTAACGGAACATGCACATGTGTGTGTGTGTGACAGCGAAAGTTTGCCATTTTTTTTGGCAGAAAAAATAAATATCTACTCACGTCTTGTCGTCGTCGTTGTCCAGAATAAAAGCGAAACTCTGAAAAAACGCCCTGCCCCTCGCCAGGTGCTCCGTCTCTTTCTCTCTTGCCCCTGTTATTTAATTCTATTTGCTGCCTGGCTTACGGAAAATTCAATTGGACGGCGTTTTCAGCTGGGCGAAAAAGTGGCACACTTCTTAATGGCCGGGCTCGTGGAGTCTTTCTCTTTCAATCGCTTTTTTGTGGAAGAAAGTCTTGCGAGTGATTAGAAATCGCGATGCACACAGACACGTCGGTGCAGGTGCAGTGATTTGGTTTCTATTTGGGGCTTTCAGTCTTTTGAATTTCTACGGGGGCCTGCTCGGCAAGTGCCACCCGTGTCAACGGTGATTCGCAGTGGTTGTGTCGGATCAGAATAAGCAATTAATCAGCGCGAAATGAATTAAATCGAAAAGTATCACTGCCAACCCAACTTTTCCACAAGACAACGAAACGACGACCAGATTGGTGGTGGGAAAACGTCGATGCATCGACGTCTTTATAAATTTAGGAAACATCGATAACATTATCATCGATATTTTTCGCTTTAAAAATGTCTAGTACATTTTTTAATGTTATAGTCTAGTCACACTGTGTGGGGTAACCTATCGAGTGAGCCAATAACCCGATTACTCCAAAAAAGTGTTTCCACTTGGTTAACTCCAAATATCGAGTAATGACATCTAGTGTTTGTTGTTTGTGTCATTTATTTGACTAGGGATGGACCTTCAACGATAGGAAATAAATACAAAATATACCGAAATATACAAAAAAAATACTCCGAAATACCAAAGACCCTAAAAGTACCCCACTTTTGCCCACATCTAGTTGCCTATAGACATCCTATGTAAAAAAAACAGGGTTATGTCAATAACCCCATAACTCCATAACTCCACCCCAGTGTAAATAGACTATTATGTTAAATATTTACCATTTTGTTGGCCCTGTTTTCTGATGTCGTGGAGGAAATGAACGGAGATTTGCACTTATTGATTGTGAGCATGTGCAGACATTTGTATTTTTATTTGGAATTTGCATTTTAAAATATTTGTTTTTATTTATAAAATACAAAAAAAAATACTATTATAACAAAAAACATAAAAATATAAAATTTAATCATCGATTTTTTCCAAAACGGGACCGTTTACACCGGTGCTGCAACAGTAAAAGTCGAAACAGTGATAGAAAAACTGATTTGCGGCATAAATAAAATTATTATCTGGTAAGTGCATATTTCTTTTTTGTCAAACAAACATAGTAGAGGCCTGCATGAATGCATTCAAACTGACAAATGAATCACTCATTCTTAAAACTTGTATAAGTTTTTCTGTATTCATTACTTTAAATATGAGTGAATGCAGTACTTGTGACTGTATTGCCAAATACTGTACTCACTTTTCCAGACACAGTACAGTTTATTGTGAATACAGTGTTTTTGGTGTACAATAACTTATTGTACAGTGAATGAAGTTTTCCCAAAATTACAAGGCCTACTGAATTTATAAAATTTTAAAGCTTGCTTATTTCTTTGTAATATTGTAATCTATCCACTAGCAGAATAACTTAAAACCTAATGAAAGAGACGAAGTGTCATTAGTCATAAAATATTGAGGGATTTATTAATACATTAATCGCTATTTAAGACATTTTCATTAATGCTGTCTATATTGGAGTTTAAAAACATTATTTTGTGGACCATGTCTTCAGTCGAAGCAATTTTGGAACGCTTTGCGGAAATTCGATTTTTTGCAATAGAAAACAAGCAAAGAAATAATATCGCACTCGGTATTCGTATTATTAGGCAAATCCATTCTCCGATTTAGCTACCGACAACTCTCACACTTTTTTTTCTACTCAGAGTACAGTACTATACAATAGTAATTGAGACGACACTCATAGTATTTTTCAAATTGAGAAGCATACACATAGTACTAAAAAAGCGTTGCAACTCTAAAATAGTGTACTCAGTTAAAATCGGTATTGTGGGTACTCTGTACAATATTGTATGAGTACACTAAATGTGAGTACCGTATACAGCTGTACAGTACTGTAAGTTTTGAAATAAATACATTCATGCAGGCCTTTAAAACATAGCCCTTTCAGCAATACTGTAATGACAACCCAAAACCTAAAAAAATAATTATGCATCGGCCGGGAATCGAACCCGGGCCGCCCGCGTGGCAGGCGAGCATTCTACCACTGAACCACCGATGCTTTTGAATATTCGAGAGCCATTCTGTCCGAGATTGTACTGGATCCAGTTATTTCGATCATTACGGTAAGCGAACATCAGTTCTCAAGATTAATTTATAATGTAATAGAAGTCCAAAGATATAATTTGATATTATTAAAAATGTTGCTTATTCAAAAAGAAAAAATATTTGTTTTGCTACTCTTTTTTTTTCTTGCTTTTTAATATAAGTTTTCTAATTTAAAAATAATTTAGTGAAGATCAATTCTTTACTCTTTAAGTTGCGCTCCACCTTCAGGTGAATTCCAAGTTTGGTGGAAAGAGTGGGGCAGCGAGTGAACAAAATCAAAAATGATCTCGAACGCGCTACTGTTGCGCCACGGAGTCAGATACAGAATACAGATCAGGATACAGAACTTCTCGCCCAATGTTTCACTGTACCACCAGATGTACAGTGCACATTGTGCTAGTGGACTCGATTTTGCCTAAGTTCTAAACTAAAATAATGAGTAAAAAAATTTATGTTGCATCGGCCGGGAATCGAACCCGGGCCGCCCGCGTGGCAGGCGAGCATTCTACCACTGAACCACCGATGCTCTTGGCAAACGGTAAACTAACCACTAATATGGGTGCGACGCGACTGGAAGCAACAACCTGTTGGTGTTGGGGCATTCCTGTCACTTGGAAGCCTCCCTCCAAGTTGACTCCGTGGCGCAACGGTAGCGCGTCCGACTCCAGATCGGAAGGTTGCGTGTTCAAATCACGTCGGGGTCATTTGAGGTAACATTTTTTTTTCATAATAGCTCTTAATATTTTATAAAAAAGCCTTTTTTAACGGTATTTAAATACATAATTTATTGTATAATTAATAAGCAGCTTTAATTCACTACAAGCAACATCATTTACACAATGAGCATTCAATTTCAACATTTAAAATCGTCCAATATGTTTAGTTCCTTTTTGTGGGACAACTTGAATATAACTCGTTATATAGGTTAACATACATAACTATATTTTTGATTAAATTTTATGAACTCTGTTTAAATTGTAAATTCCCTAAACAATTTGCCTTGATTTATTATCAGTTGTTCCCTTATTGCACAATGCATTACTCGTATGTATAAGTTGTAAAAATTATCGCTTAAGGGCCATAAAACTGCATATAAAATTGAACATAAAACTACCCAACACCGGAAATCAAATATCGACCTCATCGAATCTCGCCTCTCATTACTCACTTCTATCTAAAAATGTATTTAGCTAACAGAATTTTCAACAATTTTTACACAAATCAACAAGGATAATGGCTGCAAACATTGCACTAACTAAATGAAATCAATCCTAAAAAACATAAACTAATGGACCCTGTGTTTCGTTTCATTTTTGTTCGTTTCTTTGTTGTATATAAGCGTCTCCAAAAATATTGCAAGGGTTTAGTTGGTCTCGGATTTTTCAATATTCATAATCCTTTTGGTCCACTCTATTTGCTATTCACTAAGTTCAGGAATTCCTCACGGGTCTTGGGGTCGTCTCGGAAAGCGCCCATCATAGTTGAGGTAACAGTTTTGCTGTTGATTTTCTGCACGCCACGCATCACCATGCACATGTGTCTGTAAAAATGGGTAATTAAATTATTATTTATCTCTTAATAATAAGTTTATAAATACTTACACTCCCTCTACGACAACAGCAACACCAGCAGGTTGAACGGCTTGGGTGACAGCCACTGCGATCTGCTTCGTCAGACGCTCCTGGACTTGCAGGCGACGCGAAAAGATTTCCACAATGCTGTAGAAAGGTAAAAAGTTCCTAATTAACTTTTCCGGATAGCTCTAATCTTTCCTATCTTACCGTGCCAATTTGCTGAGGCCCAGAATCTTGTTGCATGGCAAGTAACCAATTGATACTTTGCCGTAGAAAGGCACCAGATGGTGCTCGCACATGGAGAACATTTCGATGTCCTTGACCACCACCATTTCGTCATGATCCTCGTCGAAAACGGCGCCGTTCAGAACGTCTGATGAAAAATAAAAAAGAAAATATAAAAAAAAATTCTTTTATCAATTGACCCCGACGTGATTTGAACACGCAACCTTCCGATCTGGAGTCGGACGCGCTACCGTTGCGCCACGGAGTCGTTATTGCATTGCACGCCCAATGTCCCACAAACACGAAGCCACTCAAATGCCCGTTCTTTTCTACTCGTGATTTATGGCGCGCGTAATTCGTGTTAGATTTATTTGCTGCATAACTGAATGTTAAGTTTATGTGGTTGCTTGTGGGGGAGGGTATGAGAATGGGGATGGTGACTTGACTTGATGGCTTATGGTTCTTGTGGAGTGTGAGCTTTCGCCACACTCACTTTAAACGATGTGCTCTTGAGATTCCCATTCCCATTCTCATACCCATATTCCCCGACTAGTTGCACACCCACTTTCCCGCCCTTAATATACCAACCGGAAAGCTTCCAGCCAACCCAACTAAGCAACCTCATCTCGTGGAGCTCCAGCTCCCTCAATGTCAGATTGGCAAGTCAACGTGACTCGCTCTTCTTGCGTTCTTCGAATTCGGGTTAAACACAATCCAACCCATTCTATTGCCGAAGGCTATTCACTTTCGTTTAACTCATTTAGCTTTCAAATGACCAGCCCAGCACACTTGCGTTGTTTGTTGTTGATCTTAAATTTACATGCGATTTTATTTGACAAACTGTAGAACCTGATTTTCATCTCGGACAACCGGTTAGCTGGTACGCTACTACCCATTTTATTCGCAATTCTGTTTTGTTTTTCAAACGACTCGCTTTGATTACATGACAAGTTCAAATGCGATTGCAAGAGAAAATGCAGGCCAAATATATTGAGTGGTTCGAATAGCGGGAAAGCCCATATATGTATATCTCATATGGTTTTGGATAGTGTGCTTTATCTCTCGAGTGGTAATTACACTAATGTAGCGCACCGAGGAACCCCCGTTAAAGGTGGAATACTGCGTGATTCATTGCCAAGAAACTAGTTCGCACTCACTGGGAAACCCAGGATGAGCAACTCCGATCACTGACCCGAAGGTGTGTGTTAATTGCCCCAAATAAGATGTGCTTACCCTCGAGACTCTGGTCGTAGCCCTTGGTGAAGTACAGCATGGCCTTGGCCGCCCTCTCCGGGGTCTTGATCAGTCCCTGGCGATCGGGATTCTCGCCCAGTCCGCCCAGGAGAAGGCGGTACGAGCGGGCCATGTCGGGCAGGAGGGCCTCTCGCGTCGGCGGCTTGTGGTCCAGCTCCAGGTCGTGGTGGAATGTGCATTTCTCGTGGCCTGTAAAAGTAAATTGGAATATGAAATAGATGAGAATCGTTATCATTGGGGAGATAGGTATGCATTGCTCCCCTCGATTCTGTGGCAGTGTGTGGCTGTCTAAGTACTATTCTCTCTGACCTCTGAACCAAAACAATAACCCACTGATAACTGATAGGCGGCTAATTTATGTTCAACAAGAGTGTGTCTACCATCCCTAACAGTTAATTGATTAACCGATTAGTCTTTAGGCTTTAGAATCCCTTTAGAATCTAGAGCAGTGGTCGTCAACAGAAGTTGCTCTACCGCTGCACTGCCACCAAACACAGTATAGAACTGCGTTCGTGAGCAAGTCACTATCTCCTTCTGCTGGCCAACACTGATCTGGAATCTAGATTCCTGCATCACTCTAGATCCCTGGCGCTGGAGCACTACCCACCACTACCTGGCGTTGTCGATGTACGCGGTGTCATTGGTGTTTTCGGTTGTGTACCATCGCTATCCGGACTGCTGCCGTTGGTCTTCAGGATGAGGCGGGGTCTCTGGCTGCTGGTGAGGGGAGCAGGAGCTGTGGGTAGAGCCACCGGAGCCACCTCCTCGGTGGGTGTTCCCACGATTCCAATGGCTGATGATTCTTCTGGCTGAGCCAGCGGCCTGTCGGCCAGCGAGGAGGTGCCCGAGGTGCTACTTGTTGAGCAGACGCTGTTGTTGCGACCGCGCGACAGGATGTGGGCTTGCGGGAAGTTGGTGTCATCGATGGCATCGTTCAGCTCGCTGGCACTCATCTCGGACAGTTGGCGGGTGAAGCTCATGGCTACTCAGGTTTGTTTGCCACTCGAACGGAACTCAATTTAACGGCTAGCTGGCTTGCACACAATCTTCGATTCGAACTTGGCCCGAGTTGTTTTCTATATATTTTTCTCGCTGGTGTCTCTTTTTTTTTTTGTGTTTGCTTCCCCAGCTGGACTTTGTGGACTTTTGTGTGCTGGCGCTTCGGGTGGCTCTGCTCTTCTGATGGCTGCTGTGGCCAGCGGTGGCAATAAGAACCTCTCGAGCGGAGCTTTGAGCGGGCGAAAGCTCCAAGTAAACCCACCCAACCACCCTGCAAGCTCGGAAAGATTAAGTGAGCGGAACTAAGCCGAGCTGAGCGCAGGCCCACAGTTTGATGTCCAGTGGCTCTAAAACTGCATTTGAACTTGTTGCTTTTTAAGGAGCTACAGCAATGGTCACAGAACTAGCTTCTGAATGGGAATTTGCCAAGAAAAACTTTTTGAGCATTTAAAAAAGGTGGTAATGGATTATAGATATTTTTATAGGTAGACCTAAGAATAGAAGAACGACCTAACATTGAAGGATTTTGTTAAGAAAAGAATTTTTTAACATATGAGCTATTACTCCGACCACAAGCGTGCACTTTTCTCTTGGCGCTAACGCAAAGTGGTCAAGGACTCCTTGTTTGTCTTCATCAATTGTTTGCCATGTCCTTCAGTCTCGTCGCCAAACTAATCGTCCTGGAGCCAGACGTCAAGGGGTAGTTCATTTAAACTTTCGACTGAAACAGCGAGGCTCGAGTCGAGCTGAATTCCCAAATTCTAGTCCGTACGCTCCGGAAAACCAATAACCTCAAGCATGGCGCACCGCCTGCAACTCCGGAGCGATGACTTCGACGTAATTGGCGCCGTGCCGCGCGATCTGTCGGTCATCAAGAACTTTCTGAAGCGCGATTGTGCCGTCAAGAAGCTGATCGACATCGAAGAGGAGTTCCTGCAGGAGTGCGTACTGCGCGGCGAGGATCCGATGAAGCCGAAAGGAAAGGGTGGCAACGACATCGTGCATCGTGGCAGTGGGTTGGGATCCAAACTTAATGAACCTCAACCGGATCCTTGTGCCAGCAAAACCCCAGAGAACACCTTGGCATCCAACTACTGTGATCCTTGCCAACGACTCAAGACATCCGTAGTTCTTGAAGAGGTGAGTGATGTTTCATAAGAAGTAAATTTAAGGACCCGTAACTTCCTTTTTTGTGGTAAATCAATATTATCCTGGTAAATTCGTAATTTACACATAAGTTATGATAAAATAATAACTAAATGAATACACCCATAAAAAAAAATGTTCCTGTAAAATCGATATGGACATGTAAATTACAGGTCATGCAAAACTTATATCGTTTTTACATGAAATACTCTTTTCGACCAGGTCAAATTTGACCGGCCGCATTTCAAATTAAGGGCCGTTTTCTCGACTATTCTTTAAATTTAAAATAGGGTTAAAACCTTGAAATCGTATGGGAAATCAGAGTTTTAACACTACTTTAAATTTACCAGGCGGGTGAGAAAACAACACTAAAATTTATCTTAAATACTGTAAAATCGATATAGGAGTATTTGGGGATTTACCATTTGAAAGGGGTCTGTAGGGACCTTAATCCACATTTTAGTTTCATTTTAAACCAATTTTATATTATTAACTTATCTATCAGCTCACAAAACCTGCCACCACAAATCCGGTGTACAACAAATCCCTGCCTCCGTATTTTGACGAAGAGAGCGTGATGGGGAACTCGTTGCCCGTGAAGTTCCGTTTTCGGCGGAAGTTTAACCATTGTGACCAGGAGAGGGCCGGCAACCTGATGTGCACCACCACCCCGAGCACCAATGTGGTTGTGCTGACCAACTGTTGCGATGTGATGGTGTGGCCCAGTCAGCGGGTGGCCCAGATGAACCGAGTGCCGGTGACCATGCTGACGGGCGAAGCCGATCTCACGGAGTACATGCTGGAGGAGGAGACCATCATGTGAGAGACTGAGACTGGGGTTAACGAAATGACAGCTAAGATAGAACCCAGTTTGGAATAAATGGTTCAATAAACACTCTACCCCATCCACAATTGTCCTTATTTTGCTGGGAAACCCTGCATCATCTAACTTGTTGGGCTTCCATTTTGGAAGTGTCTGTTCTCCAGCTGTTCAGATTTGATTATTCCCCGCATAAATTCCGAAACTCATCAATTTATTCCACTCGAATTCAATGCAAATTTTAGGCGGCATAACGTAAAACATCTCAATCTCTAAGACTGAGAATCTTTTTACTTTCGATACGAAGTTGAAGGTTAGGAATAATAATATTCTTTAAAAAAGATATATGCGAATGCAACATTGAGATAAGGAAATCATCTTCATTTTAAGAAGTATTTAAGTATTTATTTTAAGTATTTCTTAAAAAAAAGTTTAAAGATACATTCCTGATCACAACTGTTGTTGCGAAATTAATTAGAAAAGATAAATAAAAAGAAAATTCTTAAAGAATCCTTGACAATTTTGTTAATTAACTTGTTTCGTTTTTACTAAGGGCACCGATAGAAACCATTTAAACCTCCTACCGCTGTTTAGGGTAGAATAAATCAGTTGGGAATAGCACAGGCTGGGTTAGTTTACATAAAGCTAAGACAGCTGCAGATGACATAGACATTCATCGTTCTAGATGAAGTGACGTAGCCAAGTTTAAGTGGTACAGTGGAAACTCCCTAAAAAACACACCTTTCCTGAAAATGAAATTCAAAAGATATGACTCAAAGGATACCTGAATGACCTTATCGAATTGAACTGTGAGTGGCAAACCATAAAAGACCCTAAAAGGTATGTCCATCTAGTTTCTTCCTGAGTGGTCGACCTGTTCTCATGAATTGCAATTAAGCCACCATTAACATTTTCCACAGGGCAGGTGTTCTCTCCGACTCTCAGCCCCGCAACGTGTAGCCCACAATTACGCATTACGGAATCGGAATTAGAATCAGGAATGCCTTACACTACGGGGACTCTGAGCTGGCAGGGTTGCCACCGCCTGGCATTTTCTCGGAGAATTTTTTAAGTGCCTCAATTAGCGAGGCTCAGGTCGATTCGGCTCGGAACTCTCAGCCAGCCAGTTAGTCTTTTTTATTGACCGCAATCGCTCAAATGTGAAGTACTGCGGCTCGGCTTATTAGTCACCACCGACACAGACACACCAAGCTCGAGATCTGAGGGGCAATCGAAGAAACTGAAAACGGCAAACGGCAAAAGCCCACGAATCGAAACCGTTTGGAGCGCGAACCGTACTCGCAATTAAACACTTTTTTAACCTTCACAAAAGTAGTTCAGGTCTGTGTACCCTCCCCTCATCCAACCACCCTACCTTTCGGCCAAATACCGGATCACAAGCCGAGGGGTTTATGTCTTTTGTCTTTGGCTCATGGCTCACAATCTTGGCTCTTGGCTCTGCACTGTAATCCGCTCTCGTTGAATCTGCCGATCCAATCGGAACCAATCCAACCGATCCGCCAAGTGCCAACTGCCAAGCGCCAAGCAAATCTTTCAATGTCAATGTCAATAAGCCCAGTCCCAGGCCAGTTCAGTGCCATTCGGTAGTAGCTCTCTTTTTGGTATAGACATAGGTTCCTCTGTGGTTTGCATATGGGGCAGAAATCCGAGTTCTAGCTCTGCGGTTTATGTTCTCGGATTTATGCGGCCCCAGCATCGCCGGAAATCGGAGTCTTCTTATTATGCGCATGCGATTGAATTTCAATCGCTCACTAACTAATCAATGTGTGATGCAATATCAGGCCATATTTTCATCTAGGGGTTTGTTTTACCTGGAAAGTAGCTCTCGATCACAGTCAGCCAAGGGATGTCTTCCAACTTTTGTGGCATATGAGGAGGAATCTTTTTCTAAACAAAATTATTTATATAATAACCAATTAAAGTACGTTTTATTCTTTTTAAATTATCTAATTTGTGTTTTGGGTAAACCCTTTCTGAGATCAGAAAACCATTATAATTGTTTTCTTAATTAAACAATGACACACACTCTTTTAAAGAAATTACAAATAGGAAGATTGTATCTAAAACACTTCCAGAATATTAATAATGCAATGGGACTTCCTTCAATGCAGCTGGATATAATGTTTAATATGGAAAGAACACTGTTAATCGAAATATAAAAATCACCATTCTTAACTTCTTAGAACCTAATTGGGGATTCCTGTTTATGATGATAAGGAAACTTTACATTTATGAAGAAAGCATCTACATTTGATTACTAAAATGGTCAAATTGATTTAACTCATATCAAAATGATATGTATACCCAGTGACTCAGGCAGATATCTGAGATCAGGAAGACATCCCGAACCAAAGCAACTGTTTCTTTCTTCCGGAGAACTCACCGCTTCCATTGCTAGCGAGCTCCATGTTGAGCATTTCCAGTTTTAACTGCTGACTGTTTTTGGAGACCGTAAGATCGGTGGTGGAGGCGGCGGATGCTTCGCCTGTGGGGATCGTGGCAACAACGGAAACGGCATCCGCGGCACCCTCGCCATTTTGGGAACTGCCATTTTGCTCGCTGGTCTGGGGCTTCATTTTTGATTGGTGATTATTAACTTTTAGGTGGATTCAACGAGGATTCGGAACTACGGTTTTATGTTTTTATTATTTGGTTACTAGCGTACGATCGCGGTGCGGATTTTGTATTTGGCGCGCTCGCTCCGAATTTATCTGCCGACTAAACCGCCCGAGATTTAGTTGTAACCTTTTTATTATGAAAAATCGAAAGTTCTGCCGCGAGAGGGAGAAGTCGACAGCTCGTCAGTTCGGCAGTTTTATCTCGCTCTTTCGCTTTTTGTTAACTGTAATTGCTCTCCATTCGAATTGCTTTGGAGCTTTCGGCTCTCCGCTCTGGTTTAAGCTCCACCGCTGGGAAGTCCGAGGACTCCAGGAAATCGGAACACTTTTTTTTTCGATTTTTTTCAGATTACTTGTTTGGCCGCCAAAACTTTCGGAATATTTTCGGTTATTTGAAAACACGCTGGCAGAGTAAACATTTAAAATTAAAGAATAAATTAAACAAAACAAAAAACACGGCCGTTAAGCAAGCGTTGGCGCCTGGCTTTGGACCCCGGTGCAATAATTTCGATTTGATAACCCGGCTGCGACTGCCTCGTTAACGGGTCGTTGGCAATTATGAGGCGATTGGCGATAGCGTTCGATTTGCAACAACAATTTCACTTTCAGGCTAAATCGTGCATGCCAGAAATTTGTTCGGTCATCGCGGTTCATTTGGCGCCTGATTGCGAGCCCCCCTGAAATTGAATTACGGCGGGAGACGCGACAGGAAGGATGCATCATGATTTATTAGGACTATTAAGAATGCATCGATTTCTTTCTTTATGTTTTATTTCGGAATTTCTTTATAAACTCGAAAAGTTAAAGGACTCTTTAGTTTTTAGTCTTTAACAATGAGTTCTTTCCTGCTAGACATACTGGTCTTATAAGGAAATATATCAGATTAATTAAATTATCAGCAATTCCTTAACCAAAATGATATCAGAGTTTTATAAAAACGTTTCTTAAAATATAAAAAGAATTATAAAACAGGAAAAAATGGAAATTAAACTGTACTGAAATATGGGAATTAGATATTTATGCAATAGGATCCTCTTAAATACATTTCTTCAAGGTAAGGTCTGGTATTCAACCTAAAAAAAATTCAAAACAATAATTTCCTTTTTTTTTTTTTTTAGTATAACATAAAATTCTATTTAGACGTTGATCAACCAAATGAATGGTTATTGTTTGGATCAAAATTAAATCCTGAAATAGTTTTTGTTGCGTGCCTCAAGTACAATACCAGTGGCAATAGTCGCCGCAATAAGTTCAATACAAATTGGGCTGCGGAGAAGTGAATACGCAAAGAGTTTTTGTCGTACTGATTTAATTGAATATTGCATGGGGTTTATATACATGTTCTTGGGTCAAAGGGTATTTACTTAGGTCTACTTTGGGTTACATTTATCAGATACATGGTTTATCCTATCAAAACAATACCAGGTGGCTACAGACATGATAACTCCTTAAAATAGCGAAATTCCCGCGAGGTACGCGTGCAGATGGTGTCAGGACGTGACCGATCGTGGGATTCCTTTATGACCTGACGTCACACATGTGTGCACAGGCCTGCCTGCATCGACCTAAATTTGTTTAGGTAGGTGGACATTTAGCAGTGACGACTTCCAATCTTATCAATAACTGGCGGTGGCCACTGCGGACTATTTTCTTCTCAGACGAAAATTGTACATTCTCCCGCCCGTTGAACGGAAGTTCAACAATCATTAATGTTGATTGTAAATGGTTGAGTTGAGAGTGTGGCTGTACTTGCAGGTGTATTACGTCTTTGAGGATGTTGTTGAGTCACTTGCCATTTTTTAACAAGATGAACAATGCTAATGATCATCATGAAGATTAATCCAATATAAATGGCGATGTGATGATGCTCAATAGTTGAGAGATTGTGTGGTAGCGTGAATGTGGTTGACGGAAAAAGTTCAATTTTTCGTTGCAGCAGGTCATCGACGTTCAATTTTTCAACCTCAACTGGATGTGTAGTTTTGGACTTTGTTGGGATAATTTCTTGCAGATCGATGTCTCCAAATCGAGCGTATGATGTTTGTAGCTTGGTTTCTGCAACGCCTCGTGTTGTTATTGTCATTAATGAGTTACGAATCGTACATCCAGGTCTGGCATTTAAACGTCCTGAACCTTGTAACTCTATGTCCGATGTTCCATCGACGCACACAGCAGAGAGTTTTAAGCATGATTTTGTTGCAAAAATCCATTGATTCTCGGCATACGTTCCAAGCCAGAGAAATGATCTCTTTGTATTTATTAATTTACAAGAGGCATCCGTTTTGTTATGAAATAATTTCATCTCACAACTTGTTTCTGATAAAAACATTGCTTGTTTATTATAGCAAACGAAGTCGTTCTTTTCTCTTTC